AGCCATGGTCTTCACTGCAGAACACGAAACCCAGGGGGAGGAGTTAGGTCCAGATCCAACTCCTCCCACCTTACACCTAAACCTAGTTAATTTTAAACATGCTTGGTTATTAGAACATTGCTCTGCTTTTGGTGAAATGTCACTGAAAAATAAATCAAATCAGGAAACCTTTGAATGAACTAATATACTGTTTTGTATCTTTGGTAATGTTCAGTGAAGCTGCAGTACAGATGCAATCAGTGAAGTCTTGGGGAGTCATAATGTTGATTGGTAAATGCCCACTAGGGGGGGTTGTTGTATTATGTGGGGAACTGGTGTCCATGTACGGGGAAGTAATGCTAGATAACTGAATCTGATCTCTTGATTTACGAGACTATACAACAATCACATTTTACAGTGTAGGCTAAATATGTTATATGTATAATAAATATTACTGCTGTTGAGTTTACTTAAGTAAATCAGTGAAATGGGCAATTGTGTTTATGATAAGGAAGCCAAAAATCATATCGTTGAGGGACATGGAAAAGTCTTGAATAATAAGTCTCAAAATAATGTTCCACAGAAGAAAGAAAATCATATATGTTTGGAATGCTATGAATGAGATTAGTATGATAACAGAAATGTATTTTCTGGGGGAACTATCCTTTTAAGTAAAATACAAATCAAAATATACTTAAAATATCAAGAAGAAAAAAGTGCAGAATGGGACATTTCAGATTATATTACTGGATTATATTTAGTGAGTAATGTGTTCATGTTTAAAGTTGTTGCTAGGTCTAATGGTGGGGCCGATTTTAATTAGTCAGTGCGTAAATTTAGCCTCTTTGTCACCATCTCTGTTTGAACCCCGCAATTGCAGTTATTAGTGGAATTATCATCTTTATGAGGGTCGTGCATTGGCTCCTTTAACGCGAGCGCGGATGAATCTAGTGTTTGAGGAGTAGTGCGGCTGTCAGCCACTGCAGATGTGATGTCGAACATAGTCTTCCTCAGACTACTACAAAAATAAGTAAGTAAAATACCTTAATTAACTAATAGAACTATCATATTTTGTACATATATTCTATAAAGGGCATACTACTGATATATTTTCAGAATCATACTTCTGCATTCAGTTTAATTCAAGCAGCTTTACAGTAAATGCATGAGTCCACATTACAATTTAGAGTGATCTGTTATCAGAGGAAACTGTCTAAGTTATGTATAGCTATACAAATCTCAGTTAGCTCAAACTTAAAAAAAAATATTTAAACAATGTAATAATTTAAGGCAGAAACAATGAGAATAATATATGTTTAATAAGTGTACATTTGTTCACGTTGTGACCGGTATAATAACACAGTGTTTCAATTGAAAACACAGATTTTGGCTGTTAATCCTGGTTATTATTTGTTAGTTTTTACACAGTTTAAAACTATCAGATGTGTTGGACCTACTAGACGTACGTGACCCTGCTGTGTGTGTGTGTGTGTGTGTGTGTGTGTTGTAACACTGTTGTACCTACACTTGAAATGAGGCAATAGAAAGTAGGGCTGCACGATTATGACAAATCATAATTGTTGATTATTCCCTTAAAATTGTAATTGCGTTGCGATTATTAATTATGATCATTGCAAAACTTTTTAGACACACACACATATATACACACACACAAACTGTCCCCTTTACTTAACTTACACGTAAAGTGTAAGCATATGACAAATACTGACATATAAACTGTAGAGGTTAAGCTATTAAAAAGCAGTTCCTTTTTGTTGATACAATTTATAGATACAGATACAGAGAGAGATAAGATACATGAGCTGGTGTGTCCCACCCTAATACTGCAGCAGTCGATGTTAAAGCACACTCTACAACACTGCAATATCTTGGCGAGTCTCCAACAGCGACCAGCCGATCGATTTATGAACACACAGCACTTCAGGGTCACGTACATCTAGACAGTCCAACACATCTGATACAGAGCTGCCAACTCTCACGCATTCACTGTGAGACTCACGCAGACACTTTTCACACGCTCTCACGCCACGAGAAAAATCGCGAAGCAAAGAACACTCGGAGACCGACCGACTAAACAGAGCAGGTTACTTATGATTTATAAAGCGACGAGAATACTTTTTTGCGCAGAAAACAACAAAAATAACGACTTTATTCCACTATTAGTTTCCTTCTCTCTGGGCCTCGAGTTTTTTCACGTAGTGTAATAAACTTAAGATTGACCACTGTAGTCACTTGGACTATATGGGGAGACTTATTCTAGTGTCTAGAACTTAACTGAATGCCTTTTCAAGCATCTCAATACTTGAAAAACCACAGGGTATATTCGCACGTCTATTAATATAAACGTTACCTGAGGTAATTTTCCTGGACCTTTTTACAGAAGGTAAAAGTCGACGGTAATCTTTTACTGACATTGTCCGTAATGATTACTGAGATGCACATTCGGACAGGATTAAAATAACCGAGAAGCTCTTGTAATTATTACTTTACCCCACCTCTCCTTGTAAGGTGAACACCGGCTGGTACAGTAAACATTGCCTAGCTAACGTTAGCTGGCTACGATTTCAGTACAGTAATATCAAAGATCCTAGCTCCTCCTCAATTATCTGGTAATATTCTATTCACAAAGTACAACCAATAGTACGATAATGTTAAAAGTAATCGGGCTCTATTTGCGATGGTCCGCCGATTAGAACAGGAAAATACTCCACAGTGCTCTAGCATCTTAAAGAGCAACATGCAGGTTGAATTTATTTCTGAATTAATACTTTAAATTGTCTGCAGAGGTCTTTTAAAAACACACATGTAGAAAAGACTAATGAAATCTCATTTGATGTAGAGATTTTGATGAAAATGCGAGTTTAAATACGCCTTTTGATGAAAATGCGAGTTTGAATGCTCTGGAATACGCCTTTCCTGCTAGCAACGCGTCATATGACGTAGGCCATCATTTTCCTTCTAGGAAAAACAAGGCTTTTCGGTCTTGGGTGCGTTTCGTGCAGGTGAAGAGAGCAGACTTCACTGTCTATTACCACACACACTCGGTCGTTTGTGGTGCACATTTCACTCGCTTTAAATGGTATCACTAACTGCAGTTGAAAAGCATTATTTATTTGTTGATATGGCATGGTCATTAGTCAATGTACATAGTGCTAACCAGCTTGGATGGACTGCATAATCACTGTCAGCGTAGAATATGAGAAGACAAAACGTTGCTGGCTTAAATTAAGACAATCTAAATGGATGTTTAATCAAAAACAAAGTCGAACGTATGTTTGCTAAAGCAGATTTATTACAAAACACCAAGGTACTAGCCATACAGTAGATGAACCAGCGTTAGCCACGGTGCTAACTTACATCAACTCACCAAGTCACTTGCCCTATTCGCCACTGGTTTTCTTGACACCACAACTCTAACGTTACTTCTCTCCTCTGCCCATTGTTCCTCCCCCGATCTCCCCCTGACTTCTATCTCGCCTAGTAGGCTCATAATTATAGGCCTGTGGGCCATCATAGACGTGTTCGTCAACATCGGAGAACTAGGTTTCGTCGTTCGAATCCATTGTAACCTGAGCTTGAATTTGACGCGACTCCCTCGCCGATCGTCACTTCCGGTTAGTGCTTCGTAGACGCGGGAGTTATTTTATCACAATTTTTCTCAAAATATCGTTAATGGCTAAATATATATTACTCCAGTTCAGAAAATCTAGTTGTTTTATCATCAACATACACTATGCTATATAGAGGTGTCCAACCTGCATGTTTCTCTTTAAGAGCTGCCACGCAACGAAACTAGGAATATGACCGGGTTTGGTTTGAAATGTGCTGGGGACAGAGACGCATTCGGAAGGGCATTTTCAAAAGTGCTGGGTACAATGAAGCATTCATTCTTTTTTCTCTTTCGCGAAGGTCACGTTTTCAAAGACAATTTCCTGTAGCTTACTGATGTAAATAAATAAAATGTATACAAAGATGTGATGTCCGACCAAAAATGTTATGGTACTTTGGGTTTAATTGGTCGTATATGAGATCTAATATATGTTGTTGTCAGTATGGTGAACTTTAACGTGAATAAATACACAGATTCGCCTATACTCTGTATGTGCATGTAACAATGGAGCACTCTCTGCTGGACAAACTACGTAATTACACAATTTACACAGTTTATCTGTGTTTATGTTCTGTAAAGAAAAAAAGGTTCATATCGGCAGCATATCTGTGTCATGACTCATATAAGCCGATACCGATATATCTGCGACAGGCTCATGTCGGCCGATAAAATTGGCAGACCGATAAATCGGTCGGGCTCTACTTGAAATGCAATGTAAGTCACTTTGGATAAAAGCGTCTGCTAAATGCATAAATGTAAATACCTAGGGTTGTGTTTGTTTTCTTCTAAGAGGGTTGAAAATAAGCAGATCTAGCGGTTTTTAAGGCCTTTCTGTACTCAAAAATCATGCTCTCTCTCCACGAAATGCGAAAAACCTCTAGTTCAGTTTTCTTCCAGTTGTGCTCCATTTTCCAATACTAAGTGCTAGTTCTCAGGAAAATGAGATTAGACTAAGCGCTGTTAGTTTATAGTACTAACTACAATGTTAGTGTGTTACTCATTTGCTCCTGTGTAGTTATTCATTAATGACAGAATAATATTTTAAAGTGTTACCACCTGTAGAATTAAAGGACATCAGGCATGTTTTACTGTAATGTTTAGATGATATATTGTGCCATTTGAATAAATATGTTTAATTTTCTCTTTTCACAGTTCCTGCTCTAATAATGGAGGCAGCAGAACTTTTATGTGATTCGCTCTTCTGCTGGCTGGAGAACCGAAAGGAATGTGCAAAAAAGCTGTTGGAACTGGCGCATGAGCTGGAAGATGTTCATCGGCGCTACAATGTTAGTCAGACAACGGCAATCACCACATCTGTGATCACTTTAACTGGAGCACTGGTTGCCTCTTGCGTTACAGGTCCGATCGGCCTTCTAATGCTGGTCACAACACTAGGCTCTCTAGGTGTCTCTGCCGTCAGCACCACTTTCACAGCGAAGGATGCGGTTGTTTCCAGAAGTATCTTTAATAAAGCTACTGAATTAATGAAAGAAGATGAGAAGGTTGGGACGAGCATTCAGGAGCAACTGCGAGATCTGAAGGCCAGGTGTGGAGAAACACTGAAGGACGAGTGTGGAGGAGCGCCGCTCGGGGCTCATGCTGATGAGCTGGACTGTGAGGTCGTCACTCGACTCATGGGGGCTCTGGCCAGAAGGAGAGATACTCCCGTACCCCTAGACTTCCTCAGAGGATTCAACAAGGCCACGTTCTTTCGTCACTTAACACCAGGTGGACTGGATCCAGCCGAGGCCTCGGACTTTATTTGCAAAGCTATGAGCCTAGGATCAAGGGTATCGGCTTTCTTTTCTCAAACATTACATTCCCACCTTTCCGGGTCACTTTGACCTGGAATTTTTATGATTCAATGAAAATGTTATGGATTCAAGGAGTTTTGTGGTTGAAATTTAAAAAAGTAACAAATCCTTCTCTCACAGGTCAATTTGACTCACTTTGAAATGAATCGAATGCGAGGAATAGGGTGACCACAGACGTCACGAAAAATTGTGTGCACTGTGTGGAACAAAACACTTCAGCCTAATGTCTGATGTCGGGTTACACAAAGCAAATTATCTAATAAGACTAATTATCTTTAGTTTTCTTATTCAAAGGTTAGTTGTAATAATAATTTTGGCATAAGGCTTATTAGCGGTAGGCTATAGGTCTGATTTATACACTGTTACAACAGTTTTTACAATGACATTTGAGTTCATGATTTTAATGTTCTTGTTTTTTGTGACTAATTTCAGACTGTTGATTTTTGAACAAAAAATATGTTTGTTTCAGGTTTGAAATTATTATTTCATTATCTTTTATTATAGGCTATGTAGTCTAATATCACATGATATGATATCCCTCTGTCGTCATCCGAACACCGTCCCGAATTTCAGCCAATCTCATCTGGTCACCCTAGCTAGGAATGCTTCAGGACACATAGAAAACCCTAAAAACGCTTAAATTCAAACAAAAAATGCTAAACTTTGGTAAAACTTTACCAAAAATGGTTTTATATTTTCTACATGTGTATCTGAATGCACGTTATGAATGAATGAATGAATGAATGAATGAATGAATGAATGAATGAATGAATGAATTTATGTGTGACTTGTGCAATAAATAAAATAAACTTTAGGACCCATCGGAACAGCTCATTTGCTCCATATAGATCTATAAGGCCGTCTAGAGCAGCGTTTCCCAGCCGGGGTGCATCTGGCGAGAGCAGGAGTGCTGTGTAAAAACGGCTTCAAACATTTTAAAATTGCTAAAATGTACATAAAAATTTATTTATTATGTACCCAATACCAATCAATTACAGAATGCTTAATAACAACAAATAATGCACACAAATCTATTAAAAAATGCAAAGCGTAAGTTTTTGCCGTTGAATTGCAAGGGTTGCACATGATTTCATTCCCGTGCTCCATTCCCAGTGCGTACACACTTAAAGCTGCGTCTTTTTCATGGCTTGTTGCGCTTACGGTCAAATCAAACGAAAATATTGTCACACACGTTCGTCTTGTTGCGTATTGCCGTGTAACACATCAGTTATGCCCGTGCTGTCCAACAGTAACGCATGCGATCAAATAAACATTTAACGCAATTAAGGCAGCGTCTGTTTTTCTGTCATCCTTCGGCTAGCGTTACATTATATGATCACATTCTTCTTCCTGCAAATGCTTTTAAACCATTCAAACGCGACATGACAAAAGAGAACGTGCTGTCTATGAATGACCTGCTACACACACACACACACAGGACGCACAGAAAGACGCGCACACAATACATTTCTTTTTCACGCTTTAACGAATAACAACACATCATTTTGCCAAAATGTCCGTTTTGTTGAGTATCCTCATAAGAGCAGTCTTAAATGAGTTAAATAAAGTCTTAAATGAACATAAAGAGTTGTATGAAAAAGGGCACAGTTAAATATGATATTTAATATGGGCTTATGTGAAGATTGTTTTAAGTTCACTTAAATTAAAAGTTGTTATATTTTTGGAGCCTAATATATGTTAAAATTGATAGCTTTCAATTATACTGTAGCCTAATGTTTAATAGCGATAATTAATGTTAAAATTTGGAGGGGAAAAAATTCATTGAAGACATCAGTAGCAGTACTGGTATCAGTGACACTGGTCTTCATCAAAACATGCCATTAAACATTTAATAAAATATACTGTCTTTATGTTGTTTCTACATTAATTTGGAGATTAACTGTGAAATTAATTTATTACATTATAAAATATATTAAAAACCCCAATATAAAAACACAAATACACTGAGTGAGCAAACATTTAGGTGAGATTTGCAGTGGTAATTGCATTGCATCCAATGAAAGTCTAGGAATCAGTCATTTCTTCTGAAGAGATCACTTTAAATGATGGCATATATTTAAGTAAGGCTTTAATTCAAATATAAACGTGCTCAAACATTGCAAATCTCACCTAAATGTTTGCTCACTCAGTGTATTTGTGTTTGTGCAAAAAAAAAAATGCATTGAAAAATAGAAAAAATGTTATCAAAATTAAATTAAATAAGCTTTCTGGACAAAAAAAAAAAAAATTAAGTATAATTTCAGGGCTTCGGGTCATTTTGACCCGCAAGGGAAAGATGTATTACAAAACGCGAGGAACATTTCAAAGTTGAAATTCTCTTGAAGTGTATCTTCAAATATGCATTGCCCTTATACAGTGTTAAACAGTGATTTTGGGATTGTGACTTTCTTTCTAGGAACAGGGTGTGATTAGTTTAGGAGTCTCTCTGTGCGACCTGATTGGCGAGTGTGAAAATCCATCAAAAAGAAATCAGGTCCCGGATACCTGCAAGTTCTTACGGGATTCTGCCAGGGAAATACAGGAAGGCCAACAAAAGCTAAAGGAACAGCTGGATGCAATGAAGTATGATATTTTATTTTTAATATCAACTAATTGATCTGTCTTGGCCAAAGCCAAAATGTTTTGTATTTTGTATCTGATTGTACAGTACTGCAATATTGTAAATGCAAACAATAATGAATGTCTGAAGGAAACTGACTCGCTGTACAACTTTTCTCATTACAGCGAAATCATACAAAAATTGTTCAGAATGAAGAGGATCATCAAGGACTTGGGGGGATATTCTCTCAGCATGACTGAAAATGGACAGAGAATAATGGCGTATATCATGGGAACATGTACAGACAACAGAGTTGTCTCCTGGCTTCAGGTATTATCTAATCAGACTGAATTTGTGAATCTTCTACGATATTTCCTGGAGAGGTTGGATCACATTCTTCCAGATTTGAGTTTGCCTAGCGGAGGTCACATACACATTGTGTTTGTGGGTCATGGCAGTATTGTCGACCAGTTTATGCCGTCAGCTGTACTGGTGCCCACACCTAACATCATAGACACCATTCTCTACTCTCCGTGGAACTGTGCCATTGACGCCAACGCTGCATATGCAATCGCTCAGGGGAGCATTCGAGTGACAGACAGAGAGTTTTACAACAACAGCAAAACGGCTTACTATGAGCCGATCCCTTTGCCAGATCGCTGGAACAGCATGCGAGCATCTCTCCACAACATCCCAGGGATCCTTCTAGCCCCACTGACCCCTGAAGAAGGAGCATGGGCCCTTTTTCACCAGTTTTGGATGAACAGAAGCATGGAAATAGAAGACCGTGTTATTATCCCATATCTTGTCCCACAATGTTTGGTAAATGCATTCGGAAAGATCCCCCTATACATGTTCATATTTGCGACATCATTTTTACTCATGCTGTCTAATAAAACAGCTACTGTGCACCTGGCGGCTTGTTTGGTTCGAGACGGAAGTACACCAAGGCCAGTCGAGTGGCGAACACAGTACGCCTACACAAGTGATGGAACCTGGATGTCTGTGAACATGGATAACAGGAACATGAACACTGACTTATACAGAGCCTTACGATCATTGTTTGACCGGAACCGTAGATAAATCAGCTGAACGGCCTCTGGGTCGGTCCTGATGTGTACAGTGGGGCCAAAAAGTATTTAGTCAGCCACTGATTGTGCAAGTTCTCCTACTTAGAATGATGAGAGAGGCCTGTCATTTTCATCATAGGTACACTTCAACTATACTATACTTCAAATATTTTTTTACCCACTGTAGTGAATACAGGGCTGGAGAGCGACCCTCAGCGGAGCAGTTTAATGACCAAAACCAGACCATTTATTCATGTTTAAAAGAACTTATATAAAAGAAGTGACAGTTCAGGTCTTTCTATACCATATTATGACATGTTTCAACATCAACATGAAGATAAATAACAAATTACATACAGAGTATTGTGCAATTCCAACAGTAACATTATGAAAAAAAAAAGAATATCCAATTCAATTCACATTTATTTGCATCAGCTTTAAAGAAATTGCATGCGTCTGCATTACAGTTTAGAGTGATCTGTTATCAGAGGTGGCTGTGTTATGGAGTGTTGTGTTACAAATGTATTAAATGTTTAATTTAAGTTCCAATACAATAGTATATAAGCTGAGAAAGTTTATTCGACTAAATTTAGCATTTGAGGTTTAAATGGTGATTTCAGAGTTTCCAGCAAGAGATTCCTGCCAGACCTGTTTCAACCCTCTGGGCTTCTTCATGCAAAAATGCACTGAAACGTTTATGTTTTGAATTTTGAATGTTTTTTTTGCTTCACCGGAGGGGGATGAAACTTGGTGACTTTTGTTATATTACCTATAGCCCCTTTCACACAGAGATTCCGGAAAATTCACGGATAATGTGATCCGGCATTTGTCCCGGGATTGTTTGATTTCGGTTCATTCACACTGCTAGTGATTTGCCGGGATATGTGAGTGCGTTCACACACAACCCGTAAAAATCCCGGGAAGACACATGACGTCAGGATGAGACGTATAACGTACGCGTCGAAAACATGTACACGCGCATACCGTTCCACAAAGCTGGTAAACGATCTCAGCTTCAGCGCGGATAGTGAGGAGCTCCTGGTCTCTGCTTCGTTCCAGTTTGCAGACATTTGTTCGTCCTTTCTTTGTTGATGACGAACACAAACTTTCTTCTAAGAGCAACAGAGTCGCGCGATGGCACGAGCGTCATCACTATGACACACCCCTTACGGCATTGGTCCTGGCTTTTGTTCACACAGCGCGCGTTCCGGGACTGATTCCGGCAATGTTACTAGGTCCCCAACCCGGGATCGATGCCGGTATCAATCCCGGGTCGTGTTTGCGTTCACACAGAAGGCGTTCTGGCAATTTCCCGGCAATTTCCCGGGATCAACGCGCTGTGTGAAAGGGGCTTAAGTGAACACACAGAAAAATAAAGGAGATGATTCAGATATGTTAAAGGGTCGGGAAAAAAAAAAGAGTCACACTTAGCTTCCTCCGGGTCAAAAATGACCGACCATATAATGGGAAATACGAAAAAATAGGAAAACTCAGAGAAGCTTTTGGTGGTACAAACTACAAATCAGCCACTGTGCAGAAACAAAGTGCACAGCAATGAAGGGGTGACACTCTAAAACATCAAGAGGGACAATACACACACACAACAAACAAATTTGGCTCCAAACTATATAAAAACTATATAACCATAACTCCAAAACTGTAGCAAGGAGAGTCAAAAGGTAGGTATCGTTTGAAAGAACTCTTTTTAAATTAAAAAAATATATATATAAATTAGATTACATTTGGACACTGTCCTGCCGAAAAACTGCTGATAAAAGACAAAATATATCTAATTTTTATTATGATTTTGCACATCTTTCTTATTTGTCATGGAATGACTCAGGAAGGAAATAGTAGGAGGAAAATTCTTTCATAGTGAAGTCCCCCTACATGTGAGCTGCATCTGGATAAAAAAAATTGGATAAAGGAATCAAAAGTTACAGCATTTGAAACAGAGATAGCCTTTTTGTACAGTCTTTGATTTTTTTTTTCTATTTTGATGTGAAATGTTGCATTCATTGAAAATATATATATATATTAATTCTAATGGAAAAAAAGCTCATGAAAAGTATATAATTAATGCAAAGAATCATAAAAATCTTTAAAAATTCTAAATAATAATAAAAATTTATTATTGAACAAAAATATATTTTATTGGTTTTTCTGGGGGGAAAAAAAGTTAAATTTTAAAGCTTCGTACGTTTTTTCACATTTGTTAAGTCGCTATGGATAAAAGCGTCTGCTAAATGAATAAATGAAAGGAAGCCAAGTGTAACATTAATGAAGAGGCCCAGAGGGTTAAGTTAAATGAGTCAGATTACTGAGACTCTCACCTTTTGTCTATAATGGCTCTTGGAGCCTGAGCCCCAGTCGTTGAATAGTTAGGCTGATTGGATTAGCATCTATGCATGTGAATAACGAGCCGACTCCTATACTTCGTTTACATGCTTTGTTCAACCTCAATATAAATCACTCCCCCTAAATGTATATAAAGTGCAAGGAAATTGCACAGCGAGTTGTCAATAAAGAGATACTTCTGCTTGAAACATATCCCAACGTCTCCTGGTCTCTGCTTTGACGAAGGAAAAGTTTCAGGAGTTATAGATTTCAGAAATGTTTAAAAAATAAAATTTTGGCTTTCCAATACAAACAGTCTCTGGGAAACTCAAGGAAATGTAAAAAGTGTTAAAATCATCGCACTGTCCCCTAAATGTGTTAATACAGACAAACAAAGAAGTTTTATGTTAAAAGCTGTAATGCAGAACAACAATACGCAGCTCTCATATTTCCTCATACACACTTCCACAACTCTCCTCATTAACCCTGTAAATGCTGATGCTAAAGAAAACAGCAAATCACCCTGGTGAAAAATAAATATGTTAAGTATATTAAATCTTAGCATACTTGAGCATACTTAAAGGGGTCATATAATGCCATTTTTGTACAAGCTAATATGATTCTTTAGGGTCTAAATTAAAACTTTGTAATATACTTTAATTAAAAATTCTCATTAGTATTGTAAGAAAACACTTATTTTACCTGGTCAAAAACAGCTCTGTTTTCAGCACGCCGTTTCAGTGCATATGACTTTAAATGATCATGAGCTTTGCTGACTCCGCCCCTCTGTTCTGTGCGTACACCGTTTGTAACACAATAACCACGCGTTGTTCATTATAAACGTGGGATTATGAATTTTATTGAGAACGTTGTACATAGAAAACATGCCGTAATGTACCCTGAGTGTAAACCGATGCATTCATCGTGAAGCGTGCAGCTGGCGATTTGCAAAGATTATATAAATATTAATATAAAGATTAATAAAATGTTACACTCACTTTAGTTCTTCTGAAGGTTCAGCAGGAACACGAATAGGTTCCGATCCTTTATTCAGGTGCAGCTTCTCAGCAAAACCAGCTTTACACTGATCCTTGTTTATAAAGCAGTCCACTGAGAAATGATTCGGCAAACATGAGAGCATTGACGTTGCTCGTGGGGAATATTCCCTTCGAAAACAAACTCAGCCACTGCGTCTTCAGCGGTTCGGATTTAGGAACATTAAAATGACTGTGTTCGTTATTGCACCCAAGAACAGAACACCACAATCGCTTAGAGCCATTCTGCTCATAGACAGTGCTCCAGCGTATCAACAATGACCGCGCCGGTCCACGCAGACTATGATTGACAGGACGAGCGAGGGCAGGTCTGTGTTGAATCACTGCTGTCAATCAACAATCGCGGGAGGGGCGTCCGTTTTATTGACGTCACAAAAACGAACGGCTCAATTTGAGGCAGGGGAAAACATATAAGGAGATTAAAACAAAAACACTGGATGGATTTTTATCATTATATGATGGTTGTGTACAGGCACTGCCAACACACATTTCAGTACAATCAACTTGTAAAAGTGCATGTACCATTATATGACCCCTTTAAAGCCAGACTAATCATCAGTATACTTCAAGTTTGTTAATGATTATTAAACTTGAAGCATGCTATTTTGTACTTAATATATTTTAGTTGTAATTTAATTGTAAAAAAGCACAATTTGAAGTGTACTTAGTGTACTTTTACGTGCTAAAGTGGAACCACTTCAATATACTTGAAGTATATGGCTGTATGTACTAATATACATGCTTGATTAATAAGCATTAAGTGTACCATATCTGTGTTAGAAGTACATTTAAAATGCACTTTGAATGTCGTACAAATATACAAGCATTATACTACAGATCACACACATTTCTCACAACATACAAGCAGTCAACTATGTGTATCTGCTAGTTAAAAATGTATTAGTAACTTACAATATTGCTCTAAGCTTGTGCATGTGACAGTGATTCAAGGACATATGTCAGTCGGCATCTCACGTCAAGTTCATAAAGAGCTTTAATTCAGTCCATTTTACAATCTGATTTTGGCCGCCTCTCAGTTTCTCAGATGGGTCAAACCAAAGATATTACCTCAGAAGTTCAAGTAAATGAACTAGAAATCCGCGCTCATTCAAGGGTGTGCATCTATTGCATGGACGGAGAGAAAGCACTGAAATCATCAGACATCCATTAGTGCATGTGAGGGAAACAACTGGAAATACAGCGCTGGTCGTTCTCTCCATACTCAACAACGACGGAATCCGACGGCGTGCATGGGCGAAGGTATAATACATGTTTTAAATTGTATGAAATAATCCCGGAAAAAGCACAAACACAGCTGAGGGTGACGCTAACAGACAGCAGACAAACGACTAGCAGTGAAAGCGGCGGCAATGCACCTGTCACTCAAGTGGCCACGCCCTTAATTATGCAGAACTTTAAGGCTTAATATAATTTAAACAGATGAGTTGTAAAAAAATGTACCCCCCTCACAGTCGTCATGAAGGGCAAAATTAGCGACATAGACCAAAACCACTATTTGCTCCAGGCTGTAAACATGTTTTTTTCTGCTGTGAAGTTGGGCATTTTAACATGCGGGAGATACAGATTTGACTCGCTTCTGCAGCCTGCCTCAAGCGGCCACTCGATGAATTGCAGTTTAATTCACTTCCGTGTTGGTTTCAAGAGAGAGACGGGGAGGTTGCCGCTTGGGTGCGAGGCGAGCTCATTATCATAAGAACCAATCACAACCATTCAACGGCTCTGGAACCAATCAGGA